ATCAACAAAGGAGGTTAAATAGAGTTAAACTCTCCAAGTAACTCACCCTAAAAATAATATACAATCACTAATAAAAGCAAGTAAAGTGTCTCACAAATACAAAAGTAAAAATAAGCCTATACAAAGAAATTACTATATATACAAATATATGAAAAGGGCCCGTTCTGGGCTACTGAATCAGCTTTTTTTTTTTTTTTACAATGTTACATACAACACAAAGCACACATTAATCAAGCATAACTCAAGTCATATATACATTAGTAGCACATACACAATCACTCATTATGCAATAATGCCATGGACTCAACTCACAAATGCATGCATGTGGTGTTAGTCACATATCACATATCACTAGTGTGCTGCCTAAACAACACACTTAAGGTAGTCTAGAAGTACATGTAGGGAGTTACTCATACACTCTTAACTAGAAGGATGTACTGCTAGGATCTGGTCAGGACAGCGAAGCTGTGCAAGTTACTTCTTGTGCTTACAAACGAGCGAAATTGAGACATCTAAATCGTACTATCCCCTAGGATTATCCCAAGCTGTTACACAAGGAGTATCTTCCCTAACAGTGTACTCCACATCGTATTCATTACATAGATGCACATGATGCATGTCACACACTCACACTTCATTGACTCACCATTTCACTTGTCATAGAATTTCATGTCTTATCTCATTTCATCACATTTCACATTCACATAGTCATAGTGTTCACAATAGCACGTCATTCATATCATGTCTCATGTTATTTGTTCACATTTCACATAGTCATACTCATAATTTTTTCTCATAAGGTTTCGCACAAGAACCCACAAAACACTCTAATTTATATCAAAACTTATCTAATTTTGAAATCAAACACATATTTACACTCAACATCACACAAGGAACACAATAGAACATTCAGAAAGTAAAACAGAAAATGTTCATATTTTTCCTGTTCTTAGAAGCATGCATCAAGCAAGGGATTGGGGGTCAATCCTGCTATCCAACTCCTCAACGAGGTTTCTCACTCCCCTTTACCTATATAAGTAGAAGATAAAGCTAGAGCATAATCTGGTTGATCTCCTTCTCTTGGTTCTCTTTGACCTTCAGAGAGCGTGTCAAGGAGCAGTGCCTAAGTATGTTGTTTATAAATGTCAGAAGTAGCCAGAACGGCCCGTTTTGGATTCATTTGTCATGTGTTAAATTCGCATCTAGAACGGCTCGTTCTTAAATCAAAACGACCCTGGTCTAGAGTTGAATTTTAATTCATAACAATCATGTTTGGAATAACCTGTTTCGGATCCAGAATGACCCGTTCCAAGTTAGGATTTTAGGCCTTTTTGGTAGTTTGGAACGGCTCATTCTAGGTTACTAAATCACCCTTATTGAGCGTTGAGCCTTCTGAAAATCAGAGTGTTACATTTTAGTTCCAATAAAATTTTTCAAATTTTGATTTTAGTCTCTAAAAAACAATTGTCTTATTTTGATTTTCTAATTTGGAGATGCATATCATTTTTTGTCCTCAAATTTATTTATATAACACTTTTATAATATAGTACAAAAGTAAATTGAATGAAAATTATAGTACACCTTTTTGATATTTGTTAACATTATTCTTTTTAATGTAATAAGATATCTTTTAATTAAATGTTTAATACATCATTCGAACTTTAAATTTTCTAGAGATTTTAAATTAAGTTCATAAACTAAAAAAATTGTCATTAAGTCCTTAAATTCTTGTATTTTTATAATTTAGTTTATAAGATTAGAGACTTATTTACAAATCGTGAAATATGTCAAAATATTTGTTATACTAGACATACACAACCACATAACATATGTATCATCATCTATGTGTAGCAAGATTTAATCTACATGTAAAAAATTATTGTAATCTCCTTAATCACAATAATTTTGGAACAATATAAAATTTAAAAAATAGTGATTAAAATTTAATATACATAGATAATAACATGAAATAGTAATATAATATGGTTATCCAAATATAAAGATCCAAATAATGTTCTGTCAAATTTCACAGATAATAAACGAATTTCTAACTTGATGGACTAAATATATATACTATAAATGTTTGCTTATAATAGAAATCATATGTTTATCATTTCACTTAAGTTCCATAAAATGTTAACATCAGACTTTTATTCTTTGCTTATAATAGAAATGAGATTTAATAGAAACAGAAAAACAATATTATTGATTTAAAATAAAGAAAATTATTACAAAAGATAACCTGGGATTAGAGCTAATGCTCTTTTCTCCCTGCCTCTCAAGGTTCTAACAATAAAGATTTCTCCCCTTCCTCCTTGGAGTCTCCACTTCCTATAACTACATTATCTCTCCTAAGAACATCTGCAATGGGAGTTGCTTATAAGCAATTCTCTATGTCACATCACTGCTAAATCAGCACTAGCCCACTTTATGAGTTGCTTAAATTTTAGCAAAGTTGCTTGTAGAAGCAACTCTGCTAAAATTTAAGCAACTCATAAAGTGGGTCAGTATTAATTTAGCAGTGATGTGGCACAGATGGTTATTGCAGATGCTCTGACCAACTAGTCACATATGCAATTGTCACTAATTTTGTGCCCAGCCCAGGTATTGGGCTTAGGCCCAAACCAGTATCCTAACAGTTTATATAACACATTTGGATAGTAAATGAATTGTACTGCGTATGATGATTTTGTTTTGTAATTGTATAAAAATATGTTACATTAATAAGCTCTTTATGCATAATGTAATAATACTTTAAACAAATTTCACATTCCGAGAAACATGTACATAACTACGATAGTAGCCTAAGGGCGTGTTACATTGTCGGTCTCTCTTGTCACCCAACTCTCTTGTGTTCATTCATTCTCTCATAAGTTTTCATCACAAAAATTACAGATTTTCCTCTTTACCTGTTCTTTAGAAGCATTTGTTAAAGAAGAAAGTATATTAAATTATCTACTTATTTATTTGATTCTTTTCTTCATCAAAATTTCAATAATTTGACATATTTTTTTAAAGAGGAAAAAATTTGAAAAAACATGAATTATTCGAAAAAATGAACATTGAGCAATCAATTGCATCAATTTACCTAATATTGACAATAAAGTTAAATAAAATTATATAGTAATATCTTGATATTATGTCATTGTCTCAATTCACTAATATTTTAATTTCTTTTTATAACAGGTTCATCGTCGATCTAAGTATATTTTGTGTGGCAGAATTTTATGAAAACATCAAATAAAATTTAACTTTGGAATAAGATACAAAAAATTATTGACTGGAAAGATGAACAGGTAATGTAATGTATAATTCCATTAAAATATCACATACGTGTGATGTTAATGGTTTATAAATGTAGCAGTTATAATTAATAACATATATATCTTCATAGAATAAGTTGTAATTGTAAATTAGCACTAACTCATTTTTTCTCAATATTAAAACACTTTAAAAATGTAATATTAAGTGACAATTGTCATGTTAACAATTTTCATATAATTTTTTTACAAAAAATATTACATACAATAATGATATGCAAAAATATTATTATAGATACAATAATTTATTATGATAATTAATATAAAAAAGTATCATAATAAATTTAATATTATTTTATTTGAGTTGTCTATATTATTTACCAAACAATGTACAAAACAAAAAATTGTCCAATTATTTGATATTTGATTTATAATATTCTTCTTGTCTTATGTCTTAATGCATATCAAACATACCCTACACCTTAACATTTATCTAAAGTGTCCTATATAACTTTCATCATTTTTCACAAATACAAGTAGAGTTTTCTACTCACGTCCCATCAACACGTCCATTACATAGGTCATGAAACTTTTTGTAAAATGAAATTATTACTAAAAGCAAAGCAAAAAAATCTATGGTGGATGCAAATTTTGTGTGGTTCGGGTAAACCAAGAAAATGTTATTTTCATATGGTTTATCGGTGGAGAACAAAAAAATATCGTTAGATAATTGAATGATTGAGATTCATCATTTAAATTTTTAAATTAATTTTATACAATAATATTAAATGTCATTTTTACCTTTACATTCTTTTCACATTCTCATAGTCCTTGTTCATATTCTATGTCCACATCTAATCAGATACATGGCCCAACCCATTTTTTCTTTGATTTTCCCACCAACATTTTACAGTACTATCCCAAAATGGTCTTGTAGTTAAACCTCTCCAACGACCACCTTTTCATCCACTACATCGTAGTTTGTTAGCAGCCCCCTACCCACGACTCTAGCGCATAGGAGAACGTAGTGACGTCAACGAAGGAGGCCACAATGTCCTCGTCTTCCTCGGAGGCAAGAGAGGGTTTGGAAAGGGTTGGTTTGGGAAAGGAAGGGTTTGGAATGACATCTTCAAGATCCTAAGCTTCAGTGGAGGCACGCAAGATGAAGAATCGATCAAAGTTGACGCCAAAGAGGTAGATGAAAGAGACAATGAAAGATGACAACAATCTCAAAGAGTGTTATGGTGTGAAAAGAATGGAGAATCAATTCTTATCGTGTCTACGTGAAGAAATGTTGACTTATAAAAGGATTTTTCAGCAAGTTTAAATAACTTAAATAAATAAATAAAAAGATACTGTTCACTTGTCTACCAATAGACAATATGTTAAAATTATACACGGTAACAATCACAAAAAAGAAAGCATAAATACAATTAGTTTTTTTTGCACATGTCCCATCAACACAACAATTTATTTAAACTAAATTACATTAAGCATAAAATGAAAACACTTTTATTATTTGCGTTTGTATGTGTACAAGTCACATCTGATTCCATGTCCATGTGAAATACTCAAAGGAGGTATAATTTTCTGCCGCTGTAGTATTCGACGTCGACAACATTTTCAATTTCAAATTAAATATTAAAAAAAAATTGATGAAAAAGTGAAAATGCTAATTCAACCAGATAGCAAGTTTGTTGATATGAATCAGAATTCAGATATTTTATTTTCTTTATTTTCCCAATAAATTATTTGTCCAGGAAATCATATAATGGACAACACCCAAGTTCATTAACTATATTGCTTAAGGCGAACACTAACTTTGAAGCTGCAGATAAGGTATGACACAGAATTCACACACTACATACAATCCATGTTTTGAATGAGTGGGAAGAAAAAAAAAAACATATTAGGAATGAAGGATCATATAACATTAAACAGATCTTAAGACTATATAAAAGGTCAGCTTTAATACAATTTGAACTACAAGCTATCCGAAACAAGATCTTGCTCTTGCTATTAAGTTAGATTATCTCCCTGAAAAGTGGCATGCAGGTGCTAATGACCACCCTGCACAGCCTCTGTCTGCCCACTCTGTTGAGTGTCACTACCCACATGCGGATCGTTCCGGCCAGACCTACGTTCATCTTTAGCAGGTTGTTCCCCAAGTCTCTCCTGTAGATTAGACACCATGGTCAGTCTTCCCAAAAATCTTCAGATATCAAGGGTTTCTAGGAGAGTAGTGTACGTTATTTAGTTATGAAAGTTATGTTAGTCCCTCTAGGCCTCTATCTATGTTTTTCACTTATCAACATTCAAATGTGTATTCCAAAAATATTCAGATATCAAGTCTGTGTCATACAGGAAAATGGTACTGGCAAGAGTGCTTTTATCAATTTGGAGAAGACAAAAAAACAGAATATACGCAATGTTTAAATGGGAAAAGAGGAAGCTGGGGGACCCTCAAACCCAAGAGTTGTTTCCTCTCTGTTTTGGAAATAATAAAAGTGATTATTTTAAATTAAGGAAAAATAACTATAGTTATCAGAAAATAGGCTTTCCAATACACTAATTGTATCTGGATTCAACTACCCTCTCAGATAACTTTTGGATCCTTTACTAAAATAAAACACTCAAATAAGGGGTGGAGAGTTCCCTGGTTCTCCTCTTTTCTTCATTTAGACATTCAAGCAAGAGGAAATAATGACCCCCCACCACTCAATTCCTTTCCCCCTTTTAAAAACTTCCAAAAGTAGCAATATAAGATTTTAACATTACCTTGAGAGCTGCATTCTCGGAGAGTAGCTGCTCATACTCACTCCTGATTCTACTTACTTCTGACCGAAGAGAAGCATTTTCTTCCTTCAAAGCCTCAGCGCGCTGAGCTAACTCATCACACTCGGCCTTTAAAAATACAAAAAAATAAAAAACTCGAACAGGAGTTAGATTTGTGACAATTATGATCAACCCACCAAAGAAGGAAATCACTGTAGGGTAATCCTCATCACCTGCTTACGCAACCTGGATCTGCGAGCAGATTCCCTGTTAGACTGCTTCCGCCTTTGCCTTTTAAGCTCCCTTTCATCCTGAAAGTTAACCAGGTAAGAAAAGGATTAAAATTAGGTGTGTAAAGAAACTAATAATGCAACAATAAAAGTTCAAAATCAGGTCTCAGACCAAACATAAAAAGCAGTATTGCAAGTTTTTAATTAAGATGCTTTTAATAAGTGCCAGAGTGACTTAATAAACAACATAATTACTAAAGAAAATAAGCTTTGGTCTTTGACTAGGTATCCCCACAGACATAACTATAAGGCTAACCCTCGGGCTATAGGTGGTGGTTGGGAAAAAACAGTCTTTTTAAGGCAAAAGCTTGTACATATCAAAGTCTAAATAGTCTGCCGCAGATTAAACCCAAGCACCAATGTGTATAATCAAATGAATAAATTTACTTAAAACCAAGGGATATCTTAATGAGGAAATAATAAGAGGCATATGGCTTTTGCTTCATTTACTATTCTCATTTTGAGTATGTGTTGGTTATAAGCACAAGAGAACAGCTGACATACATGTTAGCTGAAATACATGTCAAGACTAAAATTCTGTACTAACTTTGAAGGATTATTATATATGTATCTGTAACAGCGCATGCCCTTATCAAGCTTAATATTAATTACCACATATAACCAGACAACTACAAACGTCAATTCTCCAACTATTTTTCACCCTATAACTTAGGATCCTATATTATTTCACAACTTGATATCCTTTTTTTTTTGGAAAAAAAAAATCTCCTTCTAGTCTCCAAATAGTGATCATTTTCAGAATGCAAGCTACAAACCTCCAGAATGCACTGAAAGCTATAAAATGCTCATCATATGTCACAATCAGAGAACAAGTGTCATGAACTTCACAATTATGACATTAATTATATAAATTCAAATAGGTAAAGCAGTTAATTTTTTCTACATAATTTGATTCATTGAACATCCATCATATGTTATCCATGTAACAGGCATCATATCATCAATCTGCAGTCAAAAGCAACCTGTAGCCAGAGTTGTGACTGAACACTATCTCGTGATCCAGCAGTAGTAACCATCCCTCCAGCAACCGCAGTTGATGGAACCTTCCTGGCAAGTGCAGGAATGTTGGATGAAGCTGGTGTACCCCAATAATCCATTCCTATATTTAAGTTAGTTGTGGGACCAGGAACAGCTCCAGGAGCTCCACCTGCAGAGATAGGCATGATAGACATAGTTTGATTGACCACCGTATGAGGTGTATTTAGTCCCCCATTTTGAGGAGTATATGCTGAACTGCCATTTTGAGATGGTTCATCTGTAATTCAATAGAAAAAGGTATATTTCAGCACAAGAACACAAACATTATGGGTCAATATATGGCACTACACACGAAAGTTACAAACTGTATTGAAACAGAAGAAAGTAAGCATGCCAAACCTTCAAAAGAATCCTGCCTGCCCCCTGATTTCAATTGAGAGTCCTATGAAAAAACAGAGAAATAAATACTCAAATACCCATCATAAAAATAATTACCTAACAGTCTAACACTTAAAGAGCAAATGGCACAAATAATTTATTTAGAGTGTCATTCAGAAGATAGTCAATTGAGTGTCCAACAAACATGATGTGGCCCAGACCCATGTCATATTCTTCACCCGATGTCTGGTGTTTAAACATAATTGACATTTATAAATTATGTATATCAATTATCTGATAGATAGCCTTAAAGAAATAACAAAACATTGAACATCCATTAGTACTTTATTCTGTTTTACGACAAGAACTTGTACTAAGCCTCATAATACTTTGTTGTTTTCTAACAACAACAATAACAATAACCTTATCCGACCAGGTGAATTTGGTGACGTAGATCACACGACACCTTTGGACTTGGTTTATTAGAAATATTATTCACCATGAGATCCTTTTCAATAATTTCTTAGAGTATTGTATATTGACAAATATGTCTTTGGAGGAGTGAACACCATGATTTAGAGAAGGATAAACATCATGTGTCTTCAAGAAACTAAATGGGTTAGAGAAAAATCTAAAGAGCTAGATACTATAAGATCGAAACTTTGGTACAAAAGAAAAGTTGGAGGAAAGGAAGGAATGGGTATCATTGTGGTTGATATAAAAAGGATACAGAATAGAATTTTATCTTTTAGAGTTGAACATTAATGGTTGAAATGGAGTCTATCAATATCGTCAGTGTTTATACACTATAATAGAATTTGAAACGCTTTTAAAAGAAAAGTTTTAGAAAGATTTGGAGAGATAGGGGCAAGGCTTTCAACAAGAGAAAAATATTCTTGTAGGTGAAGATCTAATTGGACATGCAGTTAGTGAGGCAAGATAATTTTTTAGGAGTTCATGATAGTATTGGTTTTGAAAATCTAATTGGGGAGGAACAATCTAATCTTAATTTCTCAATGACATGATTTCAAGATTATAAACACTAGTTTTAACTTTTAAGAAGCGAGAGGAACATCTAAACTTATAAATAAGAGTGGAATCTCGAGGACACAAATTGATTCCTTTTGGGAAGGAGCTTTGATAAAGATCATCTAGGAATTGCATGGTGATTTCAGGAGAGTCGTACTACACAAGGGTCTTAATCATTGATGTGCATATATGAGCCTTAAATTGAAAACCTGACAAGTTGCAAATTCAAATACAACCAGATTCCTTTTACTAATTTCCTCCAATGTCCTTCTTGGTCTCCCTATATCCCTTTTTAGAGAGCTAAAAATCATGCAATTTACTCTCTTCACCAGTACCTCTAGTAACCTTCTTTGCACATCTCCAAACCTCCTAAACCAATTTTCTATCATCTTTTCTTGATAAATGTCACATCAATACCTTTTCATATACAATCATTTCACACCATGTCCTTTCTTGAGCGACCACACATCTATCTTAACATATTTATACTACTCCCAAATTTTTTTTTTTATTGTTCTTTTGAAGTCCAACATTCACTACTATAAGTATGGTTGATCATGCCAATATGATTAAGCTTTACTTTAAGCTTGATAGGTACTTTGTGGTCACAAATAACCCTCAAGGGTCCTTTTTCATTTTAACCACTCATTGGGTATCTTATGTGTGACATCTTATTGTTTCCTTATCATTTCATAATATTAATCTCAGATACTTAAACTTAGAGACTTGTATCTTATGTGTGACACCTTCATTGTTTCCCTATCATTTCCCCCTACTGTCTTTTTTCTACTCAAATAAAAAAAGAAAAATCAGGTTTCAATGTTTGTCTCCAAAGCTCAAGTTTACAGTTAACATTTTCTCTCAATTCCTGCACCAAAAGTAGATCATCTGAAAAAAAAAATACATTTAGGGATAACTTTTGTATGTCTTTAGTAAGCACATCCACGGCTAAATTAAACAAGGACTTAATATCGTAAAATCCATAGTCTTGCCACCATGAGTTTTCACACTAGTAGTTACCACTTACCCTTTGATACATGTCTTGTAAAGCCCAAATACAAGTCAAGCAAATAACTCTCTTTTCCAATTCCGCAATACTTCTTTAGGCATTTAATCATATGCTTTTTCCAAGTTAATAAAAACCATATAAATCTCTTTCTTTTGTTTTGATACCTTTTCATCAACCCATGTACAAAATAAATAGCTTCTTTAGTTTCTGGACATAAACCCAAATTAATGCTCTACAATCCTAGCCACTCATAAATTTTATCCTCTTGTTTTTATGACAAACTTCTGATATAATACATAAGCTCTGCATTTTCTGAAAATTAAAATTCACCAGCTATATTTCATAGTTTTTAAAAACAAATCATGTCAAAATTTGTTGACTGTTTTCCCCCCATAACATCATCTATATTAGATAAATTACAGTTCTTATTCAGAATTAATGAGATTAAATACTTCTGCTGGGATAGCACTCGTACATAAATTATATTTAGGCAGCATAGAAAGAGCTACAGCATTCTATTCCATAACATGTTCTTTTCATGTTTTTTTACATATACTCCTTTACTTTAGATGGATGTGTGACCAGTCAAGAAAGAACAAAATATGGAATGAGAAGATATTAGTGAGACACCAATCGAGGAAAAAATGACAGAAAATGTTAGGTGGTTTTGACACATGTAAAGATGGTCACTAGAAGCACTGGTGAGAAAAGTAGATCACATGGTTTTTAGTCATGTGAAAAGAGGCAGAGAGACTAAAAAGGACATTAGAGGAAATTGTTAAGAGGAATCTCATAGTAAATAATATCCCTGAGAATTTAGTCTTTAACCAAGTCCAATGATATTGTGCAATCCATGCAGCCAACCTTAACTAGTGGGATAAGACTTTTGTTCCTTAAAACTTATAAATACTGCAAAATAAGTGTTAATGGATACATTTTGACAACTTAGTGGAAAACTGAGGACTGTTTCTGAACTTACATTTTGAGAATTTGCATCACTTCCTTCACTAGTACCTTCACTTGCACTCTCACCACTACAAATCCAAGATTATCAGCATAAATCACCAATATACAATCGCAAATGGCAAGCCAATATACTCAACAGGCTTAGAAAAACAAACCATTGCGAAACCTAATATTAAAATTTACTGACAGGAAAATACAGCCACAGATAAATAAATAAATAAAAAATAAAAACATCCATATCAAGTAACTGTGTGGGGGTCCTCAGGCATTCTAAAATTATTAAATGCAATTTCTGTAATCTTTAAGTTAAAATATACAATAAAGAAGTCCAACAAAATTCTAAAAGAAAGCTTACATACTGTATCCAAAAACTGTAACAAAACAGACTAAAAATTTTAAAGCACATGGAAGAAGGAAACGTTAACTTCAGGAAGTGACTAGTGTTTTTATTCCCAACTAGACAGTACATGGTATTCAGAATCCCTAAGTCATTTATATTTTATCATTGTGGTTCAGATAGTGCTAGGCTCTGAAAGGCTGCAACAAAATTACACATCAAAGTGGCCTGTATGGAGTTGCTTTGTTTGAATAAACAATTTTTTTAACTTTATTTCCATGATAAAATCAAGAGCAAAGATTGTATAAATTTAAATGAAGTTCATTCATTTAACACTAGAGATATGGATGTAAATGTTACCAATAATAGACAGACATCATATCAATTTCATATTCATTCCTCCAGTTCTGAATTCAAGAATTTGCTCTGGGACATGTCAAACTGAGTTCTATTTGGTACATAATCTAGTTCTCCAAATATGTATTCATTATATTATTCCCCTAGCTAGAAATCATGACTGATGGCGGTGATCGGTGACATATCATGCCAAAATACCAGTCATGTAAAAAGTGTGGATGCATTGTCTCATATATAGCATAGAACCAACAATTTGGCAATTTGGAAGCAAAGTGTGCCTTTCTTTAGCCAAGCTAGATTGCTTTGATTCAAATAAGAGGGTACATAATTCAACAATGAGATTGATCAACACAACAAATCTTACCTCTTTGAATGAATTCCATTAGCAGATGTCCCCGGTGTTTTACCATGTTCATTATTTTTCCCTGTGATCATATTCAAACTACCCAAACTTCCTTTTGATCTTTTGATTGGCAACTTTTCCTTCACCTCAGGAGGCTTACCGTCGGCTTCCATGCTGCCAGGAGTGTTTCCCTGCAAGCAAACTAATAGATTATTTTTCCTTACTTGGATAAGGACAAGTCCTGTACAGAAGAGGGAAAAGACAGAAAGAAAAGGCAAGAATGAGCACAAAAAAGCACAAGGGGAAAACTCACTGAAGCCTCAGCAACGCCATTTGGAGAAGGCATGGCAAAAGGACTAAAAGGATAAGATCCCTGTATAAATTTGAGGCAACAGTAGGTGAGATAGTGATTAACAACATGATATAACTTCAAGAAAAGATAGTTTACAAAGAATACCGGAGGCATGGATGGATGAGCATAAATGCCACCAGGGGGATACATTGCAACATAAGGATGTGGTGGAGTACCATAGGGAGGCATAATATGCTGCAAATAAAAACTTCATTAATGAACCAAAGGAAGAATGAGACAGAATTTAAATGAGATATTTCATATTGTTAGTGAAGTATGGACTAGTTGTATTCTTTGTAGATACAGACACATGAGAGAACAAAAGAAACTAGAAAGACCATTCAACAATGATGGACCAAAATCTACAGAATTCATTTGCAGAGGTAAAATAGTTTGTGTCAACTTCTAATTAGGAAATTCAAGCCCTCCCTTTTTAAAACATACAGTTTCCTCGTACATTAAATAATTAAACCTAGGGCATAAAAGGAATTAGGATCATCATTAATCATAAGCTATGCAGATCGGTGTATTTTTCAAGAGATACCACTCTCAACAATAAGGAAGTCTCAAATTACTATAAATTTACCAAACAATGATTTTACATGCTACCAACCACCACTACCATTGCTATGATAAACTATGGTCCCATCCCATCTGAATAACTATCACCATCAACAAAAACTGCTAATACATTCATCATCATCCATCACACCACTAACCAGCCCACCATCATCAGTGCCATTACCAGAGTACAATTGATATGTCACAACCATCATTCAGGCCCTCATCACCACCACTGTGATGGCCTAACTATTTAAGTTTCCATTTTTTCCTGCCCACCCACATGCTAACACTATAGTGCTAGTGAATTTACTAAAGTTGAAACAGTTTCACAATACTTTCTATCTGATCAGACATTCAACTAGGCAGCAGACAATCCTGAAAAACTCAACAACTGAATTAACAAATTCTGAAAAGGATTATTCACAACTCCCAATACAGGAGGCTTAGTAATGCTTGTTTGAATACAAAACAAAAAATGGTAAGCATGAGACTCGGCTTCACAAGCCAACAAATAAAAATGTATAAAATCCTTCTCCTTCAAGAATATGATCAGGCTCAAACACAAACACATTTGCTAGCTCCAAGCTACAATCAAATTCATATGTTAAATGTCTTTTTACTAATGTTTAAAAAGGAATTATGGTTTTGTATTTTGTATTACATCAAAACCATATGAATCTCAAATTATTCATGGGCAAACTCTCTTCCTTCCCCCTACCTATCTAAAACCCTATAGTTTCAAGTTTTCAACATGGTATCAACATGGTCCATCTTCTATGACCTGGCCCATCACTGTTATGCTGATTTCCAGCAACTGTTATTTGTCATCCCCCTCGGCCATGTGCTTTTGCAACAAACTTTCTTTATTTTGCAGTTACTGTCTCAGTGTCTCATATTTGGATGTCCTTTATTTTAGCGCATGGAATTTGTGAAGCCATATTCACACCACTTCTGTCATTGTGTGCCTCATGGCAAGCATCTCTAGCCAGGCCTGTCCCTTATCGCATCTGCTTTCCAACTCCACATAGTTGTTTACCTCCCTGGGCTCCACTCAGTTGTGTTTCACACTTACATATGGTGTGTTTTTCCAGCCTTCATCAAGAGTGAGCTGTTTTCAGTTGGCTTGGTTTCACTCATCACATTCTTTCGGGTGATTATCTCCAATTTGGTCATTTGGCTCTTTTTGGATGTTTGTTCTTCTGACAGTGACTCTCAGTTGTGACTTCTCTACTGACTGATACTTTCTTCCTGCCATTCTTAAGGTGATTCGACTATGTTATGACTCAAAACTCCCCCAAATATAATTCGCAGGTTATATTTCCAAGAATTTTGGGTCTCCTAAACTTTCATACTGTATGTTACAGAAGTTATAGATCTTGCCATGTATAACTGTTTGCCAGGAAATTTCTACTAATGATCACCCTGAAAAGATCTCTTCTTCCTTGGTCATGCAATTCTCCAACCAACTTTTCAACCTGAGAATCTCTCCAGCCATCTTGCTACTTGTTAGGTTATCTTTCCAGCAATACTTATCTCTCCAACATCTCCAGCATCTCTAAGTTGCCTTGCCAGCCACATTTTACGGAGTCCACTTTATATTTGGGTTTTTTTTTTTTTCTTGTCACAGTGTTCATTTGTAACAAGCTTAAAACTTTGTAAGCTTTAAATAGAGGGAGAGAGTTAGAATATCTAGAAAATATCTCTTAATATCATTATTGTGTGAACCATGGAGTAATTTAAAATATCTTACTGATCTCGGGACTTATTTTCACAATTCATTATATTTCTTGATTTGTTTCCTAATTATTAGAACTAGGAGTCTAGTATTGTTTTCTTATTTAATTAATTAGAATAATGAATCTAGTATTAAGCACAAATAAAGGTTAATGCTTTGTATTTTGTATCAAACCAATATCAATTCAATAATTCATTAGCTTGTTCTCTCTCTTCCTCCTACCCTATCTAAAACCATATAACTTCAATAATTGTAATAGCTGGAAATAAAAGTAGTCTCTAAATTAATTTCAATATTTTCCCTTTGGCCACAGCTCAAGTATAGAGTACTTTAGTCCAGTAGTTAGGTCTTAGATTTGACTAATAAATACCACAAGGATAATTTGAACACTTTTCACTGTCATGTACATGGGATTGACATTTATAATATATGTAGCAATTACCTGGACACCCCACATATAAGGGTGGGCCTGGGGACTCGATGCCAAGAAACCATGGGGAGGTATAGGAGAGTATGCCTAGAAAATAAGGGAGCTGGGTGAACCAAAATCCAATCTTGACAAAAATGAAAATGATATGTCATTATTGCAAACCAAGACTGTTTCATTAAAAACCTGAAAGCCAGGCCAGTCAGGATTAATTGTTCCAGTGCCAGTGGTCGAAGACTGCTCCTGGAAAAACAACAAATGTTTTTGGCTTCACACAACAAGTACCAATCATTAACCATCAACGCAGATAAAATAAAAGAAAATCAGTTAGACCTGTGACGTAGGTGGCGGTGTCTTTGACTCCTTCTCTTTTGGGGCTTTATCCATCTCACTGCTGCCCATACTTTTATATCAGTATCTTAAAAAAATGTACACTAAACCATCCTGCACCAAACATAACTTACATTACATTACAAGACAGCCTCAAAGACACCATTCTCCTTCAAAACGTACAACCAAATTCTATCACCGTAAAGTTGAGCATATTGGACAAAACACTTGAATCACCTGCTTCTATGTTGAATTAATCTACAAAACTACAATCACTATATCCCCTGTATCAGTTATACCGACAGGAACAACCCAACCAATACATTACACCTCTTTACCTCTCAATCCATGCAAAATCATGCCAAAATCCAACTTTGATGTTGCTCTATGTTATCTCCAAACCTAAGATGGTACAAGTTCTGTTCACCTCTATAACAACACTACTACATTAATCTCCACCAAAATTGACAAAGCAACAATAACCAGAGCTCAGAAAACCAAGATGAAACAAAAGATGCAAAGTGAAATTCATACATCCCAACAAGCTAGTGACACGAATAATTCAATAAAATTCTTGGCAAATGGAGCTGAGAATTTTCAAATTACCACTCAGAGAGAGACTGTGGATCCTCCAAAGCTGGAGCAGAAGCAAAAACAAAACCTGATCTGCCGAGGACGACAAGAACAAACAAAAGATGCGACAGCTAAATGCTCAGAAAAAAAATTGGGAGGAAAAATGGATTTTGTGGGTAACACGTAGGTTTAATAGGGGAATTTTATTTAGAGAATATAGCAAAAAAAATGATCTAGATTTTATTTAGGAATGGATGAGAAGGGAACCAAGAATTAGGGAGAGATCAAAATTAGGGTTTGTTTGGTTAAGGTTAATGTTGTTTGTTTGGCTTTGGGTGTTCACGGAGAGGAACCCATGGATCGTCGTACGGTGTCGCTGTCCAGTAAGATTTTCGTTCCCATTTTGCACAGATTGGGAAATTCCCATTTTCTCCCTAAGCCCACAGTTTTCATATTTCTTTTTTTTTTGTTAATATTTTCTGCGTTATATTTTTCGCTTTTTATCTCATTATTATTATTGCCAATGTCCCAAATAAATAACTTGATTGTTTATTAAATAGAAGCATGCAACTGATTAAAACTTAATTTATCAAATCAATATCATGCATGAACTTAATTATTTATATATAATTTATAATAAATAATCAAAGTTATTATTAAATTTGTTGCAAGAATTTTAAATTTTAAATTCTACAAAATATTTTAATTAGATTTTCATTTATTTCTCGTATATGTTTATTGACTTTTCGTTTTTTCTCAGCCCTTTAATTTAAATATTTACTAATTTACTTCCCTTAAAAAATTAAAATATGAAAAAATAAAAAAGGAATTTAAATATTTTATGTGAAAGATAAAAAGATAATAAACCTTGCGAATAAATAAGTAATAGTAATCAATAAATGTTATATGAATACTGGTTTTTCATTTTTCTATTTAAGGCTAATGTATATGATAAAATGAAATGGTCCTAATTTATTAAAGCAACAGTGTAGTTTTAATAGTTACTTATTTGAAAAATTAGATTAAAAAAAACTAAAAAGAAATTTAATAGTAAAATTTGAAATATTAGAAATAAGAAAAGTCAAGAAACACAATAGGAATAATCATCAAATAAAATTAGTTTGATTAATTGGTTTCAATTTTTGAAATTTTATGTCATTTTATATTTAAAGTTGTAATTTGCTTTTATTATCAATAAAATAATTATCCATAAGTAATATTTTAATCTATACATTTTAGTTTTTTAAATATGTACATCAAATAATATGCACATCCTAAAATAAACCGTTTTCTAATTTTCTAAGAAACAATTTTTTCTCCTTCTTAAGATTTTTTTTTTAATTTAAAAAAACTGGCCATGGTTTATACTTTATATACTCAAAATTGTTGAATTGCTGAAGTGTTATACTTCAGACTTATTTTTATCAAATGCATTTTTTTTTGTAAAAGGTGGAGAAATGGGGTGTGAACAGTAACTTCCAAAATGTATACAAACAATGAATCGGCCCAATAAGTCAAGTGCACACCCGGCATGTGTTTTGGGCCTGGCCCATAAGGGCCCATGCCCCATTCCAAATAGCCCCTCTCACTCCCCTTTCAACTTTCTCCCCGCAATTCACTTCGATTCTTCAATTCAATGGCGCCACCACCGGACCCTGACGCCGAAGCCGAAGCGGAAGCGCTGCGCCTCAAGGCCACGGCGGAGTCAAAGTTCAAAGCCACCAACAACGCCAAGTCCGCTCTCAAATACGCCAAGCGCGCCCAGCGTCTCTGCCCGCACCTCGCCGGCGTGTCGGAGACCGTCACTTCCCTCACCGTCCTCGCCGCGCCGGACTGGTACCGAGTCCTCGGCGCGGAGCCCTTCGCCAACACCACCGTCATTCGGAGGCAGTACAAGAAGCTCGCCCTGCTCCTCCACCCTGACAAGAACCCCCACGTGGCCTCCGAGGAAGCCTTCAAGCTCGTCGGCGAGGCCTTCCACCTCCTCTCCGACCGCGCTCGCCGCGGAGAGTACGACGCCGAGCTCCGCCGCAAGATCGAGGCGGAGCGCGATACCTTCTGGACCTCTTGCTCCACTTGCAGGCTTCTGCACCAGTTCGAGAGAAGGTACTTAGGTGATGAATTGGTTTGCCCTAGTTGTGAGAAGAGTTTTAGGGCTGTGGAAACGGTTCAGAGTGATGGGGATGGTAGGGTTATGAGTAGGAGTAGGAGGTTGAAGGAGATAGATAAGAAGAAAAATGAGGTGAAAGGGAAAGTGGGTAGTGAAAAAGGTAGTAATGTAGTGGGGAATGAGAAGGAAGGGAAGTTGAGGAAGAGAATGCGTTCAGTTGGGGAGGTTTTGGAGAGGTCCAAACCTAGTAAGAGGGCTAAAACTGGGGAGGAGATGATGACATTGGCCGAATTTCAGAATGAGGTGAAGAGGAAAAAGTTGAAGGAAAAGGAAAAGGAAAGGGAGGAGTTGGAGGAGGAGGACAGAATTGAGAAGAGGAACAACCGTGCTGAGAGGCGGCGGAGAATGAAAAACAATGGAGGTTTAGAGGTTGGGGAAGAGAGGGGTTTGAAGAAGAGTGTGGAGATTGCTATTGAGGAGAAGAGAAAGGGGTTGGGGATTGAGAAGCATAAGGGTTGTAGTGGAGGGGAATTGGAGAATATGGCGGTGGTGGATTCTGATTTTTATGATTTTGACAAGGATAGAGTGGAGAGAAGCTTTAAGAAAGGTCAAGTGTGGGCGGTGTATGAAGATGACGATGGAATGGCCAGGCAGTATGTCTTAATTGATGAAACTGTTTCAGTGAATCCTTTTGAAGTGAAAATAAGTTGGTTGGATGTACAGAGCAGTGGGGATGGGAAGATAGCTAGTAGGGAGAGGATGAGGCTTCATGTGCCTTGTGGGATATTTAAGGTTGCCAGGAAGGCTTCTGTAAATCTAGTAAATATCTTTTCTCATGTTGTGGATTGTGATAGGGCAGCACGTGAGGTTTACAAAATTTACCCCAAGAAGGGCTCGGTATGGGCGCTTTATGGCGAGGAAAGTATTGATGCAGATGGAAGGAATGCTGAGAATGCGGGCAAGAGATGCTATGAGATTGTTGTATTCTTGACAAGTTACAGTGAGGTGAATGGTCTGAGCATGGCGTATCTTGAGAAGGTTGATGGTTACAAGACAGTATTTAAGAGACAAGAGAAGGGGTGTAGTGCTGTTAGATTTCTTGGAAAGGATGACATGTGGTTAGTTTCTCATCAGATCCCTGCGCGGAAGTTACTTTGTGATGAAACTCCCGAACTGTTGAAAGACTGTTGGGAACTTGATCCTGCTTCTCTTCCTTCAGATTTACTTACTATTGATGGCATAGACAATTGAGGTTAGGTAATCTTTTTAGTGATTAGACTGAATTTTGAAAGACTATTTGGGAGTTGATTGTTGGTGACTTCATATATGCTAACTATCGGGTGGCTTAAATAGATGACCTTGAAACTTTTGTACAATACATATAATGATATTAGGAAACCTGCCTGTTTTGTATAGCTTGAAATTTTTTAGTTTTGTAGATTAAGGAGACATTCATGAATTACTTTATGTTCTGCTGGATTAAACTGTGCACCAGCAGTAGCACTATAATCTAGTTAATATGGCAAAGTCATGCTGATGCTTTATTCAATTTTTTGCTAGAGTGTTTCATTAGGTCTTCTTTATGACATTTTATCATTTGTAAATAATCTAAACTTGATTGGAACTCTTATCAGTAAAATGTATACTTTTCATATTTATGTAGTCCTATATGAAAGTAACGAAGAAGAAACAAGAATAGCTGAAAGATAGCTCCCAGGCCACAGAGAATATTCCCTTGGCTCCCAAAACTAACAATTATTGATGCATTCTCTCTCCTCTCTTCACATATTTGACCTCTCCTCTCTTCACATATTTGACCTCTCCTCTCTTCATATATTTGACCTCTCCTCCCTCTCTCTATAACTAATTTGCCTTCATTATTATTTCCCACCTGGAACTCTGTGCAGTTTCTTGGACCTTTGGATGTGTGCCCGTAATGGTTTCTCTGTTGAAGCCTGTTGTTGGTTCCTAAGAAAACTTGTATATTCTTTTGCAGTTTTGCCCCTATCATCAGTAGTGAGATGCATGTGTAACTTAATCACAGGTTAGCAAGTTAATTGTACCAAATTGTATTAAAATAATGGTTTAGTGAGTTTTTTTAAATGCTTTATGAAAAAGTACACACAAGGGTCCAGGATCAATCTAGTCATTTCAATTTTATATTCTGTTTCTTCTTCAAGACTCAACTGTTGTTCTTCTTCATTTACTCTTGCCATATTCTAGCTCCCTGGCTTTGAGGGAGAATGCTCAATTCTAGCTAGTTAAATTACCAATTGACATTGCTGCTACTTCTAGGTGAATGTTGTCTAACACAATTTCTCTTAATCAGTCTCTTGCAACACTTTACTGAGTGCTTTGTATATCCATGTCAATTCGTGCAGTTGTAGCTGGATTTGATCAAATTGATTATCTTGTAAAATTAAAGAAAAATTTGAATTAGCTGAAAAATATTTTTGATATATGACCCTTTTTTTATTGAAAGCCTTTTAGTTTCACTTGACATACAGTAAATTAAATTCATATATTTCTATGTAACCATTTTACAGATTGTTAATTGCAAAAATTCGAGGTTCCCCACGATAGTTCACTGGTAAAGTTTGCAGTGGTTGTTGTGTGTTCCATGTATTTCAGTTAATATCTCTTTCCAGTTTGAGGCATAAAAAACTTGAATGTAGTCAACTACAATCCTCTTAAATTTGATAAATTGAGTTATAACTAAATATTGCTTAAGGAGTTTATTCACATCTCAACTTCAGATATCCAGTAGCCTGCTTCCTAGTCCCGTTTGATAACTCTTTGCAGTTCATAAGTGATTGCTGTATTTGGTTTTTAAACATTCAAATTGTATTACCTTTTTATTACCTATGTTACGTATATCGCATATTCACTTGTAGGTGTTACATGCCTGGGGTGGCTACAAGTTCATACTTGTAAATTTGGTATTACCTAATATAGTTAAATGGTTAAGGGTCACTAGTCCCTCTTGTTTGCTCAAAAGGGAAATGTTACTTTTATTCTTTTATCTGTGTATTTTGGGTTCTCAAAATCACCACAACAGTTCTTAAAAATTTATTGTGTCTGCATACGCTGATAGTAAGTAATCTAGCATTTATTTTATGCACAGTATTTATAATTAACGTTTCATCTTGAGTATTTGCGGATGTTACTTAAGTCAGAAAAGCAATTCAGGTATTTTGTTACTGTTTATGGTCAGGGGTAACAAACTGGTAGCAAATATGTCCTGCACATCGGTACCCTTTCTTTTCCCTGGTTGTGATGTTAAACTGGTTACTGGAATTAGATGTCCAACTAACTCAAAATAAGTACCATCGGAATTCTCTGTACAGAAATGTTAATTTTGTCACTCAAAATAAGTACCTTTTCAATTCGACATGCTATTTATACCTTGCATCTCTGTAAAATGTTTATTCATTTGCTTGCACATTACTTATCTTTACTGCTACTACTGGCTAGTATAAATTCCAAAACTACGGTCAAGTAAACCAAATATCCAATTATTTTACAGAAACAAGTTAGTTGGTTTTATAATACATCGCTGTAAAATGTTTGATCATTTACTTGCATATTACTCATTTTTACTGGCTGATATAAATTCCAAAAACTCAGGTCCAGTAAGCTAAATATCCAATTGTTTTAGATTTGAAGTAATACTGACCCTTGGTTCTTCAGTTTTAAGCTCATATACAGCGTTTTAAATGGATTTAGATTTTGCCTCAATGAGAGAGAGAGAGAGGAAGAGAAATCTACTACAGTAGGACTCTAGTATTTTTGCAAGGTCCATTACTTTTGCTTTGTGATTTTCTGTCATGACCTTGGCATGTTACTAACATAGACGATTCCGAATCCGTATAGAACTGTTTGCGTATCAGCATTGCAGTAGTGTACTGGACTGAAAGATGCTTTCAGAAATGATATTAAAAGTTAAATACACGAGTGGCCTTTTTTGTAGGGTGGTAGCTTAAGATTGTAAGATCTGTGAAAGAGCAATATCCCATCATTTGTATTGCTGGGGTATCTTCGAAATTTGAGGATCAATTTTATAATTATTCCGTCACCTGGGCGTGTCTTTTGACTGTTCATATGCATTGTATAAATACACATGAGAAATGATTTTATACACAAACATATTTTACGTTCCATTCATATCCTTAATAACTACTATCCATTTCCCCACTTTCTTTAATCCCAACACCATTGATGTTGATGAGGGTTACATTAGAACTGTTATTTTGTATGTTATCTAATTTCATTTACTAGTTGATAAAATAGAGGCAGGGAATTCTGTTGCAGGCAGAGGCGCTGCTACATCATTTGCTGGTAGAATCTGTGTGTTTTGTCCAAGAATTGAGTGAGTGAACTCTTAATTAATTTTACTTTGGACTCGTGACCCTTTTTTTAATATAATCTTTTATCTGTTTCTAATTTATTTATTAATGTGGGACTTGTTTATATACTTTTTATTTGCTTTTATCTCGTCACCGGGAGATTTATTTTCTGACACTACTCAATTTTAATTGGTACTACTATTTTTTTGGGGTGAGGATTCTAATTGAAGTCTTCAGTTTGGGCTTGTTCTTAGTTTGAGTTTATAGTACACAATTTTTTATTATTTATTATTATATTATTTGTTTCCACTATTTTTGGGCTTTGAATTATTATTTTCTTGCTGTTTTATATTTGATCTTCAGTTTTTTCCTTAGATATGACTCATATGAGTTGTAATGTCATAAAATTTATGTAAGGGTTCTGTGCAAGAGTGAACAAAATTAATAAGTGGACTTGTTTTTTTGTACAGAATAAGTGGACTTGTATTATGAATGATGTGTTCGTCAAAAAATGTCTTGCACTTCGGACACATAATTTTATATATAGATTTTTATTTACTTTTATTAGTTATCTTATACATAGATTTTATTTTCTTCTGATTCATTAACATGAGACTTATTCTCCAACTCACAGCATCATTGATAATATAGATACAATTAAGCTAAAAATAACTTTTTTGAAGAAAAAAAATTATATGAAATGAAGAAAAAAAAATGAGGGTTAAATAATTTTTTGAGTACCTATCCCGCCTCTGGTTGCAAAATTAAATACGGAATCTCTTTCTGTTATTGACGAACTATTTGTATCAGCATGACCTCATCGTTCTTTTGACATCATTAGTATGCTCTAGCAAATTGCGTATGAAACATTCTGGATTAGCTTGCCACGTGTATCTTAGTCATTACTTAGAATGTTTTCTATTAATATTTTTAGCTCGTGTATTTTATAGATTAATATTTATTATTTAATTAAAATTAATTTTTATATATTAAATATGAATTTTTATCTGTGAGAAATTTTTTAAAGAAAGCATTTCTAGTGTTTTTTTAAAATTTTTATTTAATTTAATATTTAATTATTATATTTATTTATGAATTAAGTTTTAATATTTTTTACAATAAATTCAACGAGAAAGTTTTTAGTCATTTTTTAACTTATTTAATTTAATTTTTATTATATTTATCTATAAATTAAGTTTTAATGATTTTAAAATAAATTATCAATAATTAAAAATAGTTGTCTTAATATAAATTATTTATTTTAAGTCTATAGTATAATTTAAAATGCTTAAAAATTGAAAATTCCTCTCATGAATTTAAAAATGCTCTCATTAAAAGGTTCCTAAAAAAATTCTCTCACGAGGTAAATTTCATTTTATTTTTTTTTACTTTCAATTTCAAAAATTGAAATGACAGCTTCCCAATCTCTTCGCTACCTAGTTAAAACTTCATATTCCACATACACGCATACATAACTTATAAATATGTATAAAAAACACACACACACACACACAAAACATGTAATGCATCAAAAATACATAATTTATAAGGAAAACAATTTTTAAGTATCGTTACTGTAAAACAAAATTATTCTTCCAATGAGGAGAAGGATTTGGATGTATTTTAAATGAGTAAAATTCAAATATTGTTAAAGCTAGGTTGCCATGATGAGTTCACAGCATGATTATAGAATTGATGTTATCTGCATAAAACAGGGAACAAGTATTCCAAACTCTCCAGTGGGCACTTAAAAATAGAAAAATCAGTTACCACCCGTGATCGTATAAGTAATCATAACCTCACTCTTTTCGTAATGAAATAATCGAATCATATTCTTAACGATATGTTCAGGCTATCGTACACCTTTTAAGACTATTAATTGGATTTTTTTTAACGCAATTATCATTCTAATATATATCCCCTCTTAGTTGGTATGGGGCCGCTGACTTTTTGTCTCAACAAAATGACAACGTTGGAGTGTGTCACAAGCTTCACTATCCAAATTAACTTGCCCCAATTTTAGGTGTCATTAAATTCATGAAACCATGTTACCACCTTCCCTTCACACAACCTATATCATATTTCATTTGGTTCACTCTTCCTATCCTAAGGGGAGCAGGTTTGCCATCACATTTTCTTATTATAACTTCTTCAAAAGTTTTAACATAAACTTGCTATTCTATTTATCCCGAACCTTTACTATTTTATTTTGGATGTGTATGATAAAACTAGCTTATAAGTTAAATAATTAAATTAAAAGTATTTAATAAGATCAGCCCATAAGTTAAGTGCTACATATTAATTCTTTAACCAGTTTGCGTTTTGCTTTAATTAGTTTATGCATTTTCAGTTGCCACTTTCTTTGTGTTGGTTAATGGGTTGTTCTCCAATCAGTTTCATTATCTGAATAGTATTTTGCTCTCTTAACTTTTGTAAGGAGGAAGCTTTTCTTTTTCTCATACAAGCTGTCATGCTTCCAAATTCAATTGGATTTGTTATTGCCAATGAATTGTTAAATGTGGCATTAATCTTAATTTATGTGAATGATTGTTGTGGCGGAATTAATTGTCCACTTTTATAGGGGTGCTAGAAAGCTCAATGGAAGTGGGTCCCTTTGTAACTTGTGTCTAGGATTATGCCATCCCATTTCCTTGTGCAAATGAAACCTTAACCTGCTCCCAATCCTTTCTCAACAACTACTAAAATAGCATGTCCTTTGGTGCTTCCTCTCACAAAACCATCACATGATGCACATTAAAATATAAATGCCTTATACATAATACATTCATGTCTATTCTTAATCCTTTGCTCCACTTTCAATCCACTTCATAAT